AGGACTCCTGGGAAGTTGCTTGGACTAGCTCACTCGGCAGCGAATTCCAGCATTTGACAACTCCAACGTAATAGATGTTCTGTCTACAGTCTTTTCTTCTATGTTGTGTCTCTAGTTTCCGTGACTAGTCTTAAGTAGGTGTTTTAGGGGATGTCCTGATGTGGTAATATTATTGTTAGCCATTAGGTCACCTCTTAGGCTTCTATACTCTTATAAGTATATGTTAAGTGATCGCCGGCGCTCTCAATAAGGTGGTTTGGTGCATATCTTCGTCATTTTCTTGGGAGACCTACAGACTCGGGTCCTCTCATAGCTTATTCTAAGCACCATGTGTTGTCACGGCAGCTGATGGATGGACACGCGTTACACATCCTAACCGTACCTGTGCCTTATCTTATGCTTGTAATTCAAATGCCATATGATAAGAAAGCAATGCCCCTACCTGCACTAATGGTACACTAGTGACTCAAATGCACGCCGTATGGTACCTTACACTGGTTTACGCACTCGCTTAGCTCTTTAGTGAGAATAATACTACCGTCCCGCTAAAAATCCTATGAATCCCCCTATCCCCATCAAAACAAATAAGTCTGTATTTGCTGCATATAGCAATTTTATTCTTCAGAAGTAAGATATAACAGTTAGAATTGGAGTAAAATGGCAGTATACAGCAGATGCACATGGTACACGTCTTCATCGATTAACTGAAATAGAGAATACGGATATTAGCTTAACAGATTTATTTAGAAAGACTAGTGTCTAATTTGAACTTACTGCGTAAGAAAGTTATACTAGAACTACGATTAATGTATGAATCTAGTCTCCCAGGGCGTACGAAGCACCCAAACTGGAAGACAGTTGTCCAAAAATAATTCGAATATGAAGGTGAGAATTTGCAGGCATTCTTCATCGTAAGGGTGAATATATTAGGTAACGGTTGACATCATACCGTAAAAAAACACAAATTTGCGAGTGGTGAAATATGATCTATGAAAAAGTCAGCTTAATAACAGTTAATCACCTTCTGACTCCCTGATCATGACCCTCCGGCTTCCTCTTATGACCAAAATTACACACTGAGAGTAGATTTCCGGCTTTTCAATGCTAAGCTTGCTTTAACGCACGATGTAATGATTACAACCCCTCTATTACTGGTATATGGCATATTTTTCATAACAAACCCTCTGCAATAGATTGGTAGCATCTGTGACTTCATCTGTAGTTGTCGGAAGTCTGGGTCCTTTCGAAATCAATACCGATATACCCTACTGCTGGGCCCTCTGTATTAGTTTGACTCGTTGGTGGGATAGTGTTGTCCATAATACTGAAGAAAATTAAAAAACGCAGATTGTTTCCCTCCATTTTGCCGATAACATCATAAAGGACAGTTAGGAACGAACATGCGGACAGTTAGAGTCACAGGCGGCAGCAACAATTATTTTAGCTAAATAAAAACGAACTTCGGCTTTGAATATCTAGAAAACAGGGTAAAACATAACCGATTGTTGTTTAAAAACGTAAGGTCTTATGTTAGTGCTAGCCAGATGAGCTGAATAAATACAGTGACTTCAGAAGCAGCAGGTAAAACCCAGAAAACAAAGCAAAATCAGAAAAAAGTTTGCTCCAACATTTAGACTATTACACTAACTTCTAGATTTTAGCACACTAAAACATTTAATTCTGTTGCTACACAAAAGAAATAGCGGAAAAAACACAGAACGAAGAAAGCCGACCGACATTTTATGACAAGACTAGCCAGATTGCCTGAAGAAATACATTGATTTTAGTAGAAGCAGCAAAAACCCAGAAAAAATCGCTGATTCGAAATAAACTTCACACCAAATATGGAACATTACACTGACTGCGGCATTTTAGCACACGGAAACATTAAATTACATAGCTACACAAAAGAAATAGCTGAAAGAAGCACAGAATAAAGAAAGCCGACAGCCATTGCTTACAAAGATGGCGGAGGTAATAATTCCCGCCTCATTCTGATTGGTTGCTAAGCTGAAGGGCACATTTACGAAATAGAGTTGCGTTTAATTGCAGCCGAATAAAAAGTAAGCCAATAATCGATCACTCGTTGGTGACCCTTTAATCTAACACCATGTGAATCGTATGAATGATTGGTTTTTATTGGAATACACATGCCAGCTATCCTCGCGTATAATTACTGACCTGATCTGCGTTACTGAATAACTGGGTTAAGTAACCCGAATACGAGAATGGAATTTATATATGTTTATATCATACACTCAGTGATCTCAACAGGATATCAGGGAGACGAAACAAAGAGGCCAGAGCATAACATATTAGAGAACATAAGATAGACACCTCGATTTATTCATGTGTTAACCAATATTTATAAAAATGATCTACAGACATGTGATGAGTAGGATAAGATGTGCACACACACACACTCATCCAAAAACAGTCAGGATAATTAAGCCAATAAGTGACAAGGTCTAAATATGGTTTAAAAAGCGAGTAGATTGACTTGTCCGGAAGCTAGAATAAACTACGATGGCGTAACATAGCACTCGACCTTACGCTAACCCTCATAAATACGTAGCGTGATGTAGGATAACAAAAATAAGTCGAGGCGTCTCATTTTATCTTTATAAGATATGCCAGAGATATATCAAACCACTTAAGCCTCTCGCTGGTGAACTCGTTTCATCACATCCGCCTCAAAATTGAAGTAACAACTAGCTGCTTGAATCCTATGACTTATTATTGCTAAAGCTAAATAATAATAACCACCCACACATTCAATAGACCGGTGCGCTTAGGTTATATTGTAGAACTCGTCCAAGTCACTAAGTAGTACGATTATACAAGGGAAATTAGTCAAGTTCGTCGACCACTTTACTTACATATGAGACTCATTGTAACGGAAAGAGAACAGTGAAAATCCCTCTGCAGCTTCTTTGATGAACAGCATTTTCATTTATTTGTTCCTGCTCCCTTTTGTGTATTCCAACTTTGTTTCGATCTCGTTTAACCATGTCTTTTGTTCTTCAGTCTTCCCCGTTTGAGCCTTTATTATGTGATTTTGATTAAAGACTTATTTTTGTTACCTAATTTTCTATTGCATGTTGCCGGACCATTGACAGTAAGGTTGTGTTTGACTAAGCTCAAGGTCACGGCGTTGTTCAGTTTGAGACTGTTAACCTTCTGACTGTCTGACTGGGAGACTTGCTGCAATCCCGGCAGATAGATATTTGATCCCATCTTATTGGGAATACTTGTATTGATTCTCAGGTATCAAACCCTTTATTATTAACTGTCTCTTTCATTGTTTAGCGCGCTACTTTTCGTTAGAGAAACTTCTGACTGTATAGCACCCCAGGCTCCCAACTTTGGAGAAAATTTAGTCTATATTGGGGAAATTTTGGGGAAGCCTCTATAGTGAATTTTGGGAAATGAGACAAAAAACCCAAAATTTCCCCAGAGTGAACTTCAGTTATTGGGAATACAACTGAATACTGAATTTTATTAAGTGGTATCAAACAATATACAAAAGAGTAGGAAGGGGAACGAGTAGGAACAATGTGTGACAAAGTTAATATATGTATTATAACAAACATATTAAGTAGTTTTAGCTCACCCTTTCTTTGGATCGCCTTCCACGTTTATGTACTTTATCTCTTGCGTCATGCAAGAAGGCCTGGCTTTCTGTAGCCATGGCGTGTATTATTTCCTTTTCCGGGCAGCTTGCACTTCGGAAATGTGAATACAAAGCACCTACAATTATGCTAATACAGTAAAATGGACTTACTTTGAACCGTCGAGTAAAATTTGTACTTACTAATACCAAATTTACTTCTGGTTCCGTGCAAGGTGTACGTGTTTGCCAGTTCCGGAGAAAGGAAGTATTTCAGATAGGCTTTTGCTGATTTCCGAAGATCATCACATAGTAGATGGTATAATCTTCCCGTCTATAATTTCTTCAAACACCAGTTACAACTTACGAAATGATCCCGGAATTTTTTGTTCTCTAAAGCTGTCTCTAAAGAACGCAACTCGTCATGCGTTCGTAATGGGAAAGTGATTGCATCACTATCCTTATCTTCCATACGCCTTTCACTTACACCCATGGCTAAGCGTCCGCATGCAGCGATCAGTCTGTCCATCTTGCTAGATAGTTCAGTTACCGCTTTTAGGATATTTCTGAACATGTGATGTATATCATCACTCAAACTTTTGTTATCAGGAATAAAGTAAATGCAACTTACGGTTTTTCACCTTCAGTCGACGTACGTAGAATTGGTGGTGATGAAAGGTCAGCTTTCGATGAACTGCTATATGAGTATTGATAAAGTAGGTACAAACCTCGCAATCGGAGAAAACGTTCCTGTTGAAATGTTGACAACTGGAAATTCCACCGGGGCAAATCCAGCCTCAACCTCAGCAACCTCTAGTTCTTCGGAGGTGCATAGATAATCCATGTGCTTTCGTTTGACAGTTCTAACACAAATGATATAATAAGTTGAACAATTTACCTTTTTGGCATCTCAGCTTCACAGGGCTGTGTTTCATCGTTTCTACTAAGGTTATTATTATTATAGCCCAATGCTGTTGTTAAACACACTTTGATTTGCTGGGCAACACTGTAGTTGTCTAAAAGCAATAAATGTAAGTTGATTACAACTTACCAAGACGATGCATTACGGTGCATTTTCTGACGCAGAATCGACTAACGAAATCGACACCCTCAATGATGTCCTGCTCACTAACATCATCCCGATAAACGTAATGGTCGTTGTTCAGGAGCCATTTGTTAGGAATGCAGACAACTTGCTTGTTCTCATATCGTCAACTAAGATGTACCTTCCACTTTGATGCTGTAAATGAATGCGCAGGCGTGAGAAATTGTACATTTATTGCTTGATGAAAATTCACTAACCAACAGAGTCTTACTGGATAAAGTGCTATAATTGCAACAGTCCTTGAAAAAATGATGTCACATAATTTCCACATTCAATTTTAACACTCCGAGTACTACCATTATTTTATCCAAACTTTTATTTTAATTGTGGCCATTGTTAGAACTAAGAATTTAAATTCTACAGTATTTGGAATCCATTAACTAGGTACATACTTCATTCTAGTGTTTATTAAGTCTATACTAGAATAAAAGCAAACCTATGAATCAATAAATTTCGATATTAAAAAATGTTTCAGTGATTAATTAACTCAGTCTAATAAATCAACGGCAAGAAATTAAAGCCTCTAACAAAAACAGTCCAGGTTCATTTAAAACCATGAGAACTTTATGATCCTGTATTTATTACATGCTATCACGTGAGCTCGAAAATATCTTCGGAAAAATCAATAAGCCCATACGATAAGAAATATCAACTTACTACTGGATCCTTAGGTTTTTGTTTGCACAGTTCTGTCAAACCTTTTAGTAAAGTTGGGTTTACATTCCGAACTAAGTAATCTTTTGCTGCAAGTCTTACGGGGATCGGTGCAACGATCACTAAATGAATAAGTAATTTTATTAATAAGAACATTACATTGTGCGAAAAAAATAACCACAAAATTTTAAAAACATGACAACTTTGTTTAAACATATATTTTAAGTTTGTGTTATTTTGATTAGTCAATCTACCTGCTGTACTCTTGAGAGTACCCTTCGCAAAGCATTCTGTCTCCATATTTTAGGTTGATTAGATCCCCTATGTTCATACAAGCTAACAACAAGATGATGGTTTCGCACTGAAATCTAGTCCAAAAATGGGGGTGTGTATGAAATCTTTAGGTATCTTGGCTGTATTACTTATTTGGGTGACTTGGTTATCTGAGAAGTACTGATGTGAGCTACCAAAGGTAGGTTTGACGCTTAGTATTGGATTTCGTAGACAGCTTTATGGATTCTATCAACTTCAAATGGGTTTATTGATGTGCATATACTAGAAGGGAAAATGAATTTTTACAACAATATTTGGGTTCCACGTCAGGATTTTACTTTATACACAGAGAACTGTCTTGGAGTCTGGGAATCGTGGATCAGTGTGCTAATTCATCATATAACTTTCACAAATTTTCTATTCGAGATATTTGGAACTTTTATGATGGATAAAAACTAGGACGCATCAATATATCTTCAGTTTCCTATTGATATGCTCGGTCAACTTTGACCATTCAAAACATATTGTCATCAACCCATTGTTGTTTTAAAGCTAATTTGATTTATCTTAGCATTTTTATCTTAAACTAAGCTTTATCTTACAAATGCTTTCTTAACCATTTCTCTTACTGTCAAAGTGGGTGAACCAAACACATGTTGAAATGTAAACAAAAAGCTAATAGGCTTACGTCAATTTTAAGGCAAAATGACGAACTAAAGTTGGTTTCTGAGTGATTCTTTGGCGCCACATAATCATAGTTTCCAATATCATAAGCATACAGTGAAAAATAGTTTATATTTTATATCAGGTACTAGATTTAGCTGGGAAGCTGTTAAAAATCAGGAAGCACTAGAGCGGCGTTTTGTTCTAATATAAGACTCCTCGTCAGCTTCCCTAAACAATCCTAGCAGGGCTCAAACTTCAAATTACTGAACTGCCATCGAGGGGTTCATGCTTTCAACTCAACTCACTCTCCAATATTGAATGACTATCATCCACTGTAACCAATGGTGCTTATCTCATATTCGACATGGTTCAATTCCATAGGTCATAGATTCTCACTGGATCTCTGAAAAATCGCCCCAAAGTTAGTTTCAGTAAGAATATGATTATTAGTAGCATGGCAAGTTTGGTGAGATTTGTGAGAAAGAAACACAAAAATTCATTCAAGCTACTTACTATCTGGGAAGAAGAATCTGATTTCTCTTTCAGCACTTGTAAACGAATCGCTTCCATGTATTCCATTCTGTTGATCATCTGTACCATAAATAGCTCTTAAACTACACAAGAAATATTCAATAAGAATGTTCAAGTTTCATGTTAGTAAGTTAACCTTGCAGGTGCCGTCGCCTTAGCTTTAAATGCATTTTGTGGACCAATTAATTCATGAAGAATAGATATAGCATTTTCTCTAGCAATGACTAGTACTTCTATCGGACCACTACTAATGTAGGCAATTAATGTTGCATAAAATATTTTCCCGTAATGTTCTGCATAAAATTCGCTTGCTTGTTCTGGTGTCAAATGAACACGTCTCTTCTATCAAATGCATCAATTTTGATAATACATTCTGGGAATCGATATTTACCTGTATTATCAAGAATCCTTTTTGTAAGATAAGCTCTTCTATTTTATCTGCATAATTAATAATGTCCGGCTTAATAATTAAGAGTGTTCTTTCAATATGAATATATGGAGAATTTTCCCTGGACATTTCTGAAACAAGTTGTATAATTTCAAGGCCTAAAATGATATTTAAAATCATCTACGGTCTTGAGGTCTTAAAATACAAGAGAGAGCACAACTTGTCTAGTACTAAAAAAACACACCAGAACAGGATGTAGCCCAATAAATATGTCTTTTTGAAAGAATAGAATGCAAAAAGCACTTGGTACTTCGTTTAAGATATTTGTCCAAGTTGAATGGATTTGGCTGCTTCATAAATCAATCAGACCAGAAGTATTGTAACTAATGTACCACCCAGAAATATGTTTAGCCAGTCATTAGACTATTCGACCAACGAGCTGAATATTGCAAGGCCTGATGTCTATTCTCCTGATCACTTTGATAGATTTTATACGTTGACATAGAGATTTCATGCAAATTTTACCTAGTGATCTTATTCAAACTTATTATTAGTGAATACCCATTCTATGAAAAGTAAGTGGACCTTTTAAAAGACACTAGTGACTTTAAAGTTTCACTCGTTGATCAAATAATATCGTTAGTTATAAGCTTCTGTGATGACTTTAGATGTAAGGAGATTTCCTTCCATTTGTGATAGGGTAATAAAATATCGGTTTGTGGATATACATTTAGAACATTCAAAGCAGCAGTGAAGTCCATCGGGTTCAACAATAGGCGGTTAAAGCGACGAATTACAAATGCTTGTTTTACGTCGATTGATATAATCATCTGAAGCTGTTCGTTCGATTCAAGAAACCTATTTTCCACGAAGAATTCGAAAAGATAGCACTTGGTATTGCGTTCAACAGTGATACAGGTAAAAGGTCCAGGCCTGGAGATTACTTCTCATAGAAGATAAGTGATCTCACACGATATTCTTCGTTGTTGATTGGGACGTTTCTTTTTAAGTTATGGTATCTCAAGCTGTCAATGTGACTGTGTTAATACTTCGTTTATTTGATTATTAGCCATGATGGAGACTGTGAAAAAATTCACGACCTATCATCTCCTGTGTTGAGTTTGTCTTAATCTGCTAACCCATGTTTTTCTTTAGCTCAGTCAGTCAAACAGACGTAACGTAGAACCTGGCACGCATGCATATCGCTCCAAGTTGCCATATCTCGTTAGCACAGAGAGGTGAAAATCGTCAGAGCGAATCCCAGAGTATTAGATGTGGTAACAGTATTAAAAAATTTCGCCTGAAGCCCCTTTTGGGGTTACTGCAGATCCCGAACCCGGATGGAGGAGGGTTGGGCATGGGGTTAGCGACCCCATCCCGTAGACAACTAACTCGCAAAAAAACGCTAGTCAGAAAAAACAATTCAAACTAAAACTATTAACGGCAATAGGAAAAACTAGTCATCGAAGATAAATTAGTGAAATAACGAAACAGAATTTGTTAGGAATCCATAAATCTAGGGTGTAACGCAAGATAAAGATTGGGTGTATCTGGGCTATTTTAAACGACTTCGCTACTACATTCAAAGTCTAACCATTGGAAACGATAATCACACGGACCAGGGTCATGGTGAGGCAGTAACTCCAGGACCTAGCATTAGCGTTTGCCAAGTCAAGCTACTACAACTCATAATCGCAATGAAAAGGGGATTAACTAGACGGGAGTCAAACATGAGGAAACTGTACCAAACGAGTCAAAGGTCTGAATTTGTAGCAAACGCAGTTGCTTCTAGTTAGTTTGGAGGCAAGCCTTATCGAACGCGTTCTTCTGCATATATTGCACCATTGTAACAGCCATTGAACAAAATGTTGAGACCCAAAACAAAGTAATTATTCTGACTGCAGTTTCACTACGCATCAAATCGTACTCCATCTTCACTAGAGAGTGTAGGTATTGTTTGAGACACGGTAGTTTGAAGGACAGTATTATTTAATGAACTTCAACATGATTTCGCCATCGAAATAATAAGATACAATAAAATGTAGTAAAAAGACTTTGGTGATATCGAGCTGGAAAACCTGAATTATATATTTAAAAGCAGACAGTAGTTAAATTTTTCTAGTCCTATTAACATTAACTAGTTCCTAGCGTCTTAAAATCCTTCTTAATTGTATTAAAATCAATTATACTATCAATTCATTTTTTCGAATCTCTTCTAACTCAGTAGTTTCAGTTTTAACTGAGATTTACCCATTTCTTTCTGAATTATTAGCATCTTCTCATTATGTAGTTGCTTATTGTTAACCCCTTAATTTATGATTACTATCAATATTTTAGAGTTTCTAACTGGAAATGATATACATTCGCAATATTTTTATTTATTCTGTTAATTCAACTACATCTCTGCTGTACTATGCTGGTATGTGTCCACAACACCTCTCAATGAAATTCATTTGTCTAAGTGCTTCTAATCCACCTTGTAATTCTGACTTTTAAATACCACAGATTGTAAACAGCTAACAAGAACCTGACGAAACACAAAACGCACACACGTTAATTAGCTCAGGATCCCGTTCTTCTACTAAAAATACATTCGTTAGAACTGAAGTTTCTTATCGTACAGGTTTCTTACTATATAAATGAGAATAATGATCAGATAAATTAGTTAATACTTCATGTCGTAGTGACTTAGATTAGCTGTTACTTTACATATTTCTTTTTGAAGCCTAATATTTCACCACGTGTGACATTATCGCCCTACTTTCTCATGTCTTTTAGTCCATTTTTCCACTTTAATTTTTTCCTCAGTTCTCTCCTTCTCTGCTATCTAGAACAGGAGTAATATTATTTAAACATTATGAGACCCTCTGTGCGATTAACACCCATTAGCAGCATTGTAGCGGTGTACTTATTAGCATGTTAGGAAGCCACATTAAATCTATCTTGCTTGAAAGTATGACGTATCTTCTCTAAAATTCGTGACTCCTTGACCATGAAGCATCAACTTGTGGGTCTAATTGATGAAGATTTAGCAATGTATGTTTTTGAACAAATCGGCTGATATAATATAATGTCAACTCATTCGCCAGGCACTTAGGTATGAGCCACACTGTAAATGTGAGGGCTGATAATACTACCTGGCCGCCAGAACTTAAATAGGTCAGAAACTTTCTGTAATAGTTTAACAGTGTCATCGTTAGAACTTCCCTCTATCGTTATGAAACTGTAATTACTAGCTAAAACGGTCTTGCTCAAATATTACAAATGTATGTGAGACAATGATGGCATATCAAGGAAGCTCGAATCCGACATGTTACCGTAAACTGGATACATGTCTTTAAGGTGAAAACATCAGAGAAAAACCCCTAGGGCCACGGATTTGTTTAGTAACTTATTCTCACTTCAGATGGCAAAAGCCACCAAACTAGCGATTGACAGTTCGGAAACACTCATTTTATTTGTTCCAGCGTGTTATACAGCCATAACTGGGTGCCAGGTTTACACTCTCTGGGGATATCATCGAAAGAAATATTCACAAGCGTAGAGTTTGCTAAGGTTTGGGGAGTAAATTGTATTTGATGGTCTTTATTCATTAAGCTCAGTAGATTTGGAATTTTAATCATCCGTTCTCTCTGAAGATCTTGCAAAGATTCTTTAATGACGTGAGAGAAAAATTGAATGGCCGTCATTCCAGAAGGAAAGGACATGTACGTAACAACCTGCGAATCTGACTGCTATCAGGATTTTCTAACAGTAGCGAGTTGTTTTACCAAACACAAAAGTAAGTCTCATCCAATGTTTGTACGTATTATCGGTAAATAATTTAAGGGGAACCCAGGAATAACTAATAATTTTTATTCCATTTTATAATTCAATCGATCACTGCCAATATTTTTGTAGGTCGTGGTTTAAATTTTCGAAATTAAGTGACTTATTACACACAAACCAACCTCCTAAATTAGTTGAACTGCTTGGAAGTTAACCTTCGTGTGAAAGTAATAGCGAACACAGATACTTAGGACAAAAGTGGGCTACTTTTGTTGAGATCAAAATTTTGAAACAAGGCTCACCAAGATAGAGATTTAAGAAAAACTTTGCAATCTCCCTGTGGCAGACTAAAGAGGCAACATTCTGATGCACTTCTGCCAAGAATTCCGTCAAATTTCCTCAAAGAATACCCGCCTCGATTTTACCATTGTTGTTCGCATGGCTTGATTTTAGGCAGTAAGCGCATCCAAAAGTGAGTAGACGTGCAAAAATAGATGTCATAAAACGCCACTTAAGTCATTTTGTTTTCTGTCCTTAAATCAAAAATATCGTATGATTCATCGTTCAACAAGCAACAAATGATGGTGTTCATCCAGCCAAATATTTATGGAAATTTCGAGCGAGACTATAATTTATGGACGAACCAATCAGATTTAGGATAACAGGTCCTGGATTTGGGCGCGAAATTCACTCACTTATTTGTCTAAATAGCGTTTTGGCATTTTGGATGATGTCAGTTCGTGATGAAAACCATAAATCTAAACCCTGACCCTTACCATCAACTGTAAATCATAATCCCTATTCTTTATACTTCTTTATAAACCTCATTCAGTCCCAGTAAGCAGGCATACATTTTCAAGGTCACTTTAGCGTCGCTCAAATGTCCATAAATTATGGTCTCACCACTTCTAGATATAATCACTGACTAGATGCAATGACGTATATTGTGGAGAACAATGTGTAAGACCGAGACAAACAAAAGAGCACGAATTGTTGAACCAAAGTCCAAGGTTTTGAACTATTCTACACCCAACAATGCACAAACTAAATCATAAATAGCGTAATCACTGAAAAAATCTAACAGTTTTCGCAGGTTTGCAAGGGAGATACGACAAAAGGTCCTTATAATAATTACTTTAATGAATAGCAAACAATTTCACGGACTATTTTGTAGTGGTTACTTATTTCATTGCGTTAAAATCACGAAAGATGTGGTAACTAACTGCGAACAACCTTGAAGAGGTTTTCAAAACTGCTGGAACCGGTACCATAGAAACCGAAATTCAATGAACAACATGCTCGTAAGAGACAAATATGAATCGAATAGTTATTTTGTACTTCCACTTCAACGTTAAGGAGTGGTTTTAGACATTTGATAGCATCTAGTGAAGATATTCTATCCACCCAACTGCATTAGCCGTATTTCACTTGACAATTTTTCGGAGGTCGGTATATTTTGAGGGTAGGTGAGAATATGTGTCCCAGAAATGGTGAGATCATTGTTACTGGCACCTTTCACACCACAGGCTGGCCGTTTGGTTGGTCGCAACAAAGTTTTGTGATCAAAATGGGAATAATGAACAGACGCAAATAGAAGATAAATTTACAAAACAAATAAATAGATAGATGAAGACAAGTGAATAATTTGCAATAATGATTTGTCAAATAAGAGAAAATGCTTGGGTAAGGAGGTGACAGGGATTGTAAAGGGAATAAAGTCAGTAAGTGTAATAGCGTATTGCCTTAGAGGTACATTTACGTTTTGTCTTTGCATGTAACACGTATCAATGTACGTATGTGTCTATGTATGTCTGTGTGTGTAAGTCTGTGTGTATATATGCACATGTATATGAATGAACGTTTGTTTATGTACATATTAATTTAGTTGTGTATGTGGGCATGTATGTACATATGTGTGAAGGTACGAATGGATGGATTAACCGGCCTCGGGGGGTGGGGTAACCTGGACATATATGAAGGACGAAAAATGGCGTAATGATGGCTCCTCAAGATACCTAAGACAAAGTCTTTCTCTAGCCTCAGAGCCCTCTTTTTCCGTTCATAACCTTGTGTTGTGAGACTAATATTTCAACCAAGAAAATGGCGGTTTTGTGTAAACCACTTACCAGTGATCATTCTGTCTCACGTTATTATATCAGTGACGGCCGCATTGAAAATGCCCAGAGTTGTACGCCCTCCCTCAAGATTCCCGGAATTAAACATTTTTGCCAAGCGTTGTGTGGTTGCAATGCGATGGTTCAATGAAACTTAGTAAAACCCAAGCGAACTTCATGGGATTAATGAAGTTTTATTAAATTTTTGCCAATTAATAACGCCTATTGCACACCACGAGAAATCAGTGGCGGTTTATAATATGGACGTACAATTGGGAACGAGGTTTCGATAGAAATATTGCAATCTATGCCAACCTTTTGGTTCCTTCAACAAAGCAGTTGTTGTTTTAGTATTTTGACCTCCTCTTAAAGTTACATGACCTCAAGAAGGTTTTCGTTGTGTTGAATTCAGTAGAACAAAAGGCTCCTTAAATATATATTTAGAGTCTAGCAGTAAACCACAGAACTCAGAATGTTGAAATGATTAATTAAGTTATCGAGAACCTGTAGAATCATGGTCTACTATGATATTAGTACTGCGATAATAATAGACCTAATCCTATAATTGTAGATTTATCATGATATAACTGCCTAATCTATAAGATCTTACGTGGAAGTCACACCATCGACTACACCAACTCACTGTATCGTATCAATTATCAATACATGATGTAAAACAAGGTTAGGCTAGAGAAGGAACAATATATTTAATATGAATAGAAGATATAAGATAACATTCAACAAGGACCACGCCTGCATGGCCGAGTCATGCCATCCGATCAACTCCAATTCATTCAATTTCTTATTAGCGCCTTCTCCATAGTTAGGTATTTCTCCGCGTTAAATATTGAATACCTATTTTCTGACTAGTCTTGTGTTCAGCTTTGAAGATTTTGTGGTTATTGTCCAATGCCACTACAGTTCTTCATCTTTAAAACATCGGCTGTGATAGCATTGTTCATATACACAAAGCAAGGTAGAATTCTACCATGTTTGTATCCATAACTCTCTCAAAGGACTCAAATACATTTCCCAATCCAAAAGGCATTCAAAATAATTCGAACAATCAAGGATATGTGCGTCAACTCATTTCTTTTTTTTCCGGCTGTAACATAGGATTGATGGTGTGACTTGTGTGTTACTTATAAATTGATTTACACAGAACTCTGAGCTTCATTTGGATTACAAACAAAACACGCTCATTTACGTCCATCGATTTCTGTCTGACTTCAATTCTGGTCAATAATTTACTACTAGAAGACATCATCATGTCTTTACGCTAAGATGTGAAAATATGTACGATTTGCAACAATGAAGTAATACCCATCAAGTTATTGCGTTAGGCAATTAATGTATAATGACTTTTTCTTCACATACAAGCACATTTCAGCTACTTACAAAATCGCAAAGTGACTACCATAAGGTCACTTAGCATGCATAAATTACAAATGCCATGTAAGCAATATTTCGTGAATGAGTGATTGGAAAATCACTAATTCCTTTATATTTCAACATGCAAGTATCTCACAGAAAGCGATTTCTGGGACTTGTTTTCGCGAAAACCAACATTACGAAGATGGAGGATTAATATGTGTTAAACGATGATCCAAAGAACGCTGATATGGTCCGTGATAATTGTGAGGAGGTGAGTGACTTTCCTTTTCAGTAATTGAAACACTCCGACATTTTGCTTGGTTGTCGTTAGTATTTACAATCTGAAGGTTTGTAAAGGGTAACCCCAAGGAATAATGAATCTTTTTCTCGTAGAAGTATAAAGGTCCGTCTAATAAAGATTTTTAGGCCGTCATATAAAAGTGAAAACAAGCATAGTAAGTAAATTAACATAACTGTGATATCCCAATGAATAGAAAAAATTAACTTTCTGATGTTTCGTGACTCAGTATAACCCACTTCTCTGAAGTACAGTGAATATTTGTCTCGTTGCAAACTTTTTTTTCAAAAATCGTGAGTAGTTTCCTTTAAAGATGGTTTGTCCTTGACGGAATTAAACATATGGAATAAGCGTGCAACGGAGAGAAAAAGTTGAGATTTCCTTTGACAGAAACGTCATTTATTTGTTCCTCCTCCCTGTCCTGTGTTTTGACCTGTATTCAGGTCTCTAGTTAACCATACTTTATATTCTTAAGTCTTACTTCCCGAGGCATTTGTTATTTATTCCTGGTTAAAGATATATCTTCTATTACTTAATTCACCGTTGTATTCTACTGGACCATTGACGATAGGATCGTGCTTGACCAAACTCAAAGTCACGGCATGATTCATTGTATAACTGTTAACGTTTGACTGACTGCTTGTTAGGGTTAACGGAATCCTATCTTGCTGAGAATAGTTTTATTGATTCTCAGGTGTCGAACTCTTGTTTGTTAACTATTCATTTTGCCCTTTAGCACATTATTTTATGCTAGTGAAACTTTTGACTGTATATAGGTACCATTACCAAGGTTTGATTTGATGAATTCGAATAAGTTGAGTAGATTGTTATAAATAAATAGTATATTTGTAATATCCCAATGAGTAGAAAAATTAGATTTTCTGACGTTTCGTGACATAGTGAAAGCCTCGTCTTCAAGGAAAAATTAACCGAACTTGTTATTCATTTTCTGAAGACGTGGCTTACACTAAGTCACGAAACGTCAGAAAATCTAGTTTTTCTACTCATTGGGATTGTAGTGGCATTGGACAATAACCACAAAATCTTCAAAGCTGAACACAAGACTAGTCAGAAAATAGGTATTCAATATTTAACGCGGAGAAATACCTAACTATGGAGAAGGCGCTAATAAGAAATTGAATGAATTGGAGTTGATCGGATGGCATGACTCGGCCATGCAGGTGTGGTCCTTGTTGAATGTTATCTTATATCTTCTATTCATATTAAATATATTGTTCCTTCTCTAGCCTAACCTTGTTTTACATCATGTATTGATAATTGATACGATACAGTGAGTTGGTGTAGTCGATGGTGTGACTTCCACGTAAGATCTTATAGATTAGGCAGTTATATCATGATAAATCTACAATTATAGGATTAGGTCTATTATTATCGCAGTACTAATATCATAGTAGACCATAGTTATACAGGATATTACACATATATTATTTGTTTGTTTTGTCTGTATAGCACAAGAAGTTCCGTTTCAGCTGTACTATTCTTTCGATATAATTTGTTCTCTTTCTCGAATTACAACAATTTAAGTTGAACACGGAGCGTCTGCTTCAATATAATCTAATAGGAGTTACTCAAAAACACTTTATAGGCCATACAGGAAAACGTGGTCTAATGAACGTCAGTTCGTTAGTTCCGCGTTCAAACCGAATATTAGTTCTTCGGTCGTTACAATCACATGGATAGTTAGACTAAGATAATTAGATAATAATTATATCCGTAGAACTATCAAAATGTCCCGACTTCGATCACTTAAGGCAATACACTCAATATCCCCAAACTAGGATGGCGGAGAAGAACTATGAAAACTTCAAGACTGAACCAACCAGCTCGGAGAACGAAACTCCACCAATGTGTGTCGGACTACTGTTTGCTCTACTAACAGTATTTCTTAACATTGAAATTCAGGTGTTAATAGGACAGGTAAATTTAATGAACAATCAATATACTAACCTTTAATTTTCAAATGTGCTTTCTATACTCAGAAGTGATTGCACACTTCCACTCATTTACTCCATGATTTTTTTGTTGAGACGGGTGGTATAGACAGTATAAAGGATCTTATAACAATAGAAGGATGAGCAATTAACAAAGAGCTTATACTTCATCTGTCGAAATATCGATTCAAGAACATTCTGCCTCACTTTGCAAAAAGCACTTGCAGTTTCTATGAAAATCCGCTGATGATGGCCAACGTAAACTGCGATCTCCGTCTTTTGACTATGAAGAGCTCAGATATCAGCCCAAAAAACATGAGCAACGAAGTCAAGGCAAACGTAATTTTCCACTTAACGCGTAGATAACTTGGCGCAATCACATAATAGTTTTTAAACTTTTTGAAACTTGCGTACGGCCATTCTTTAAAATCCATATTGCCGTTGCGCCTTCTGTCTCAAAAATGGAAACAAATCCCATGGACAAATTAGGAAGATGGGGTCAGATTTCAATACATGAGATTGTTTTTATTCAATT